TGTCCTGCAATTCCCACTCTTCTCAAGGTTATTCAGTGTTTGGTACAGTCCACAAAGTCTAATCCCTTGGAATAGTCAATAAAATGCAAACAAACATCTTTCTGGTATTCCCTCCTTTCAGCCAAGATTTACCTGACATCAGCAATGCTATCTCTTGTTCCACATCCTCCTTTGAATCCAGCCCGATCCTCAGGCAGCTCCCTGTCAATATACACCTGCAACCACTAGTGGGCGATCTCCAGCAAAACTTTACTTGCAAGTGTTATCAGTGATATTGTTCTATAATTTGAGTGTTCTGTTGGGTCACCTTTCTTGACTACACACATGGATCTATTCCAGTCAATTGGCTACATAGATATCTTCCAAATTTCCTGGCATAGATGAGTGAGTGCTTCCAGGGCTTCATCAGCTTGCCGAAACATTTCAATGGGTACTCCATCAGTTCCTGGGGCTTTGTTTTTGGCTAATGCATTTAGTACAGTTTGAACTTCTTGCAGCATTCGTGCTGCCTCCTGAAAATGGTAGAATGTTGACTGGTTCTTTTTGATACAGTGACTCTATTCCTTCCATCTGCTTTTGATATTTCCTGCATCATTCAATATTTTGTCCATAGAATCTTTCAATATTGCAACTTGAGGCTTGAATTTATCGTACGACCCAGCAATTCCACTACCAGATATATATACCCAAGAAAAATGAAAATACATGTGTGTTTTCTGGACTCATATCGACATGTTTTATCATACTTCACCTCATTGTGTTTTGCAGACTTCTGTCGTTGTTCACAAATTGAAGGCTGCTGGCAACCATGTTTCCGTGATGCCATTGCTCACTTTGTGCCTCTTTGCTATAGTTTGATTAACTCTCACAATATTTCAAATTTCGTTAGTTATCTCACACTAGCGGATTACAGTGTAGTGCACACATGACTCTGATATGCACTGGGAAATGAGAAATCCCTGCGGCTTCCTTGACTGCAGCACTCACTGCATTTCTGTGGTCCAGAGTGAACCTGCAGGATCTGAGGCACCCCTGGGCACGAATGCTCGTAGCAGCACTGCTCGCCACAGTCCCAAGGTTGAAATGATCCCAATGCCTATCAACTGGCAATAAAATGGGAAAGTGAAACTTGCTTCAGCATGGCTGCACCTTGAAGACATCAAGCTACTTACAGAAACCGGACAAAAGACCACATATTGTATGACTGCATTTATCATACAAATTAAGAGAAGAGATTAGTGGTCGCCTGGTCCTGTGATGGAAATACAGTTTGACTGCAATTAGGCATCTTTTGAGGTTGATGGGGAAAACTGGATTGTGAAGTAGTTGTAAAACTTTATGAAACTTAAAAATCATTAAATTGTATACTTGTAATGGGGAAATTTTCTTATGTAAATTATACATAAATTGTTAATTATTCTAACTGAAACAAATGGTAAAATAACTAATGTGCTTCTGTCCTTACCCCACCAAGAAAACCCGTTAACCTATAGTGCATATTTTTGCTGCATCTGTACATTAAGAAAAAAATATCTTTTGGAGATTATCTGCTTCATATGCATTATGATTATCTGGGTTCATATATATTATGACTCTATTTGCATGTCATTAATTTTTTTCTAACAACAAAAACTGCACTAGTCTTAGTTCACTGAATCGTGAATAGCGGGCCTGGAAGACCATCTGAAAGGTACTCCCAATGCTGCTTAATTCCTTTGGGGCTTTAGTTCCTTTTTTTATACACAACGTTCTTGGTCCTAACCCCCCTTTTTTTCCTGTTCTTTTAGCAAAGATTACTCCTATCTCCTGGCAATGAACAACCAGAGTTGCTAACTTACCCAGGGCCAAGTATGTGGATTTTTCTCATTCAATTCTCCTAAGAGCCCTTTATTAGCCCTATCTTACAACAAAAAGGAGACTTGGCAGGTTTAAGCAATTTGTTTAAAGTCAACCAACATGTCAAATATGAACCTATAAATGTAATGTAACTTATTCCTATGTTGATAGTTTCTTTGCAACTCAATGGAATAATCATAGAAATTTCAGTACATGGCAGATAAAAAGAAGCCCCAAATTTTATAATTATATTAAAGCTCATTTTTTTTCTTTTAGCATTTTATCTTGTTCTAGTTATTTAGTTGTTCCTGGTCCACAGTAAATCCTGACACATCCATAATCTAAAAACAAAACAAAACCCCGCTGCCATTGAGTTTGACTCAATCTAAAATTTTGATCAAGGTGAAATCCACTGTGGCAGTAAGAATCAGACCCCCAAACACCAAGAGGCTGTTATTTCAGAAGGTTCACCCTGACTTTATTTAAGGCTTTGTAGGTGGGGGATTTTAACTTCCCATGCATTTAAAGCAGCAGTAATAAATGAAACCACTATTTTTAGTGTAGCTGATTGTATTCTTCAAGGGCCTCAGGCCTATTTTTGCACATGAATTGCTTAAGCAGGGTCAGGTCTGTTTTAATGTGACAGGATGAGGCCAGAGGCTGAGGCAGTCTTTAAGCTTGACGATTTTAGAAGCTGGACTAGTATGAGCAGGCACTGTATACTATGAGGTTGTTACATAGGCCTATACGTTGTTTTCTAAAACTAATTGGAGTGAAAAACAAAACAAAAGAATCTTTAGGCAAGCTATTTTCTAGGTAAGTCAATCTCTCTACAGCACCAAACTAGGCAGCGATTAGCTGAACCAAAAGGATACTCTCTCCACGGGCGAGATGAAGACAGCCAGTTACCGTAGTGGCCAGGGTTGCTGCGCTAGAGGGGAGGATTCAACTGTGGTACTGTCAACGGATAGAAAAGAAAGCGAAACATAGATTTTCTCCCTTAAGGAGCATTTTTATTTGATCTTTAACAGACAATAGTATTACCTTAATGTGTAAAACTTACTCATAAAGGACATGACTGGAAACCAGTTCAGCAGGTATCTGACTTCAGATGTTAGAAGCACCCCCTTACTAACTGAGACCAGTGAGATTGTAGAATGGCATTTCAACCTCCAAATCCAATATAGTTCAGTTGGGGATACATCATTTCCATCATTTCAGAAAAAAAGCATTTCCTAAAATTTCCAAAAATTAAAACCTTTTTCCTAACAAGGAGCTGAGATTATCTCTGTGGAACTTTTCTGCTCAGTATTTTGCAGGAGCATTTGGATAGTTGCAAGACATTGGTTCAAAATCTTCCGGATACTAAAGTGTGTGTAGGTGTATGTGTTTGTGTATTCCCATTTAACATGCACGCTGAACTGAAGGAAACCCCCGGACCTAGAAAGGCAGTTCATGTTCTGATGTGGAGAAATAATACATCATGACTCCCTCTGTCCCTCTGAACGCAGGCATTCCCTTCCTTGAATGCTTTAAAAGTGGTGAACTGTTTAATTAATTCCCTGGTGGAAAATATCTATTGCTTTTCTAAATGATTGGTGCATTGCAAATGCTATTCTAATGATATGGTGTCATGTAATTTTATGAGTTCTGAAATTGCTGAATTCAAGCCAAGTGTAGAAGGGATGAAACTGTAGAAGTGTAAGGCTGCAGATGGGGAGTGTTTTATTCTTTAAAAAAATGATGCATGCTTGCACCCTGAACTAATGCCACTGTCTTGTAGGAGTACAGGTGAAGGAGTGATGCCCGAGGAGGAAGGGATACCTGCTTCCTTTGCCATCTTCGGGTGCAGGCAGGTCAGCAGTCGTTTGCAGTCTAGAAAAGGGACAGCAGCTACCAACTGGCAAATGAGGCACAGAGCACTTTCTGTCTCCTCAGAGAATGTCAAGTGGATGGTTTCTATAGCACAAAAATGAGACACTTTCTTCCGGGCTTCTGGTAGGACTTACAAATACACCCAACTTGAGAAATGTCCGCAGCTCCAGAAATCTGGAGTCCTGGGTGAATCTCAATGAGCAGGCAGAACTTGGGAGAGAGGACAATACCTTGACACCAAAACCACCCTTCCTTTTACATGAGGGCTCTGGAATTGTGGCACTAGATTCTATGCAAGGTAAAGACGTGGGCTGACAGCATACATGCTTCTTTCATTACAGTTATATCACCCGGGCATTTAAACAGACATAGAGATGTTCATCTACTTTCCAGACATTAAAAAAAAGAGAGAGATAGCTTTGAATTACACAAATACATACAACTGTACATACGCACATACTTTAAAATGAATGCAAACATCTTCAAAAATTAATTACGGAATTCAAAACCAAAAACAGATCCAGAATAAAAAGGTTGTAAGGTCGCTTACGAATTAAACCTGCCATCAGGGGTTGGCAACTCAGGAAACTGGTCCAAGGGACAAATCCAGCCTTCCATCTGTTTTTGCAAATGAAAGTTTTATTGGAATAGTTACGTCCATTCACTTACACATTGTCTGTGGCTGCTTGCATGTCTCAACAGCAGGATTAAGTTGAAGAAGAAATCATATGGCCTGCAAGGCCCAAAATATTTACTACCTGGTCCTTCGCAAAAGGTTGCTAACCTGTTATATAGCACACAGAGCATCTTCATCATGATGCCAATGAGCTGAGGCACAAGGACATCATCTTTACCAGTGCTTCAAAATCAGAATAATTACACATAAACATCTCCATATTCTACTTGGTTACGCTAATATTCTGCTTAGGATGTGTGCAGCCCCAAACAGTAACTAACTAAAACACAGGCAGTATTATAAATCTGTGTATAGTTGTATTCATGTAGATATCTATGCCAAGAGTGGACAAAGATAGGAGGCTAGCTAATTTGAGGGCAAGAAAACATTAAGAAAAATAAGAATTCAAAATACTATACTAGGAATTACTACTTGGAACTTAGAATTATCTTAGTATGCTTTTCTTTTTTTTTTTTTTTAGTATGCTTTTCTTTAGATTTAAAACCACAAGACTAGTAGTAGGGCCCACACTAGAGCAAAAAACAATTTACAACGGCAAGTTATTACCCATGGATTGCGACAAATTTTAAATATGAAATAAACAGCACTTCTGTAAAAACATTAAATTTTTTTAATTATGTAAAGTGAAATGCAAAATAAGAATGCGTTTATTTCTAAAGTAAATATTTTAGTCCAAGTTGCTTCATAGGTCAATTACTTTGACATTTCCCACAAGATTTTAGTTATTAACTATAATTACAGCTGTCAGTGTTAGATAGTAACACATTGATTAAAATATATTATAAACCTTTGTTTTCCTCTTTAACTTAAATGAAATATAAAATTAAGGATTTTGTAACATAATTCACACTGGAAAACCTTTTCAAATGCTATGAATTACTCGCATACAGAAAATGACACTGGAAACAGCTATTATGTTCTAATGCTGGAACGTGAGTAGCATGATGCCTGACATGGATTAGGTACTCTGCAAGTGTTTGGTCACTCATTCCTCAAACACATGTTCCAAGAAATTCAGGCTAAGGAGAAACTGCGTAATGAGAATTGTAAGTATAATCTTTTACCAACAAATACATAGTTTTGACAAAGACTTTGGCAATGGATAATGGAGACTATGAGGTGGTGGTCAAAATTTCAAAGTGCCTGGGAGAAATCTACCAAATGAAGCCCTAGGCTGTGCTAGATGACATCACTGACACCCCAGATCATTAATCCCCCAAAAGGACAGACTCCTTCAATAGTCAGGTTTTACTTTTACATTGGAACATCTGCTCAAAGATAAGAATAAGTTCATGTTCGAAAAACAGAACAGCACATACATGCAACCCACCAGAAAGTAAGAACCCCCTGACTGGGGCCTATTGCTCTGTACTGAGAGGTCTTTTTGGTTAGGGCTGCACTGCCTTGGTGTGACAACTTTATACCGGTTGAATAATAATAATAAGCCCACTTTGAACTGAAACTGTGACTCCAAACTGGAGAGAAATAAATGGAGAAGGTGGAGGGCTTTTGTTTTTCCTTTCATGTCCCAACTGAGCTGTTCTGCACGTTTGTGCCAAAGGCATAAGGCGAAGTGTCGGCTCTCTGAAGAAGCCCCTTTAGAAAGGAGCCTTCTGGGCTCTTTGCAAAAGGTCTTAGAAATTCAGTAAGTATTTATCCTGAGTAATAAGGTCTATAAATGCAAAGGCAAAGAACAGAAGAAAGTAAAAAATAATAATGATAACAATACCCTTAGAAACTAAGCAGAACAGAGGATAAAGATTGATTTTGGAGGAAATAATGTCAAAGAATCACAAAAAGAAAACATAACACTGGCAAGTCATTTGTAGCTGACTTTAATTGCCTTTGGTATTCAGACAAGGGAAAATGGAAGCATCCTTATGCGCTCTAGCCTCCTCATCGCCATAGGGAAGGCAGGGGAAGAAAACCCTACCTTTTGTCCTCCTCCGATTCTTTGCTCTTACCAGAACTGATCCTGCTTGGATACGTCTTGTCTGCTCTGAAGCTCCAGTTTATCCAAGTGATACAAGCAGAGCAGTGTGGGATGGGAGGTTCTGCCTCCCATCACTTGAGACGTCCGAGGAACCATGAAGGTCCTATTTTCTCTGCATTCTCCTCCAGCCAAATGAGGGCGAGCACAGGGCCATTAGCGTAGCTGCTCTGGGTCCTTGCCAGATCACTTTTCTTCAATGACTCAGAAGTGGGCTTGTGCTATTTTTAGGATGAAGGTGATTTTTTTTAAAAAACCCCAAATACTTTCTCTTTTTCTTCTAAAGTCATATTAAAGCATTCTACTCTTCTCATTTAAAAATTATTTTTTTCAAGTAGTAAAATGCATCACACATTCAAAATATGTGATAAAATTGAACTCTGAAGGATTTGAGGAATGCAACTGGTTGTTCACGCTTGTCTTTGTATACTGAAAAAATTATGGTTGGTTACTTATGAATGATTTGTTGAACTGTGTGGGTTGTTTCACTATGGTGTAAAATGATCAACCTTAGGAAATATTTAATTATGTTAATTCACAAAGTCTTTTCCCAATTTAAATTTACATGCTAATAGAACTGGGGGGAAAAAAGCTATCAAAATAAGGAAATAAGATTTCAGAATTGCAATGTTAGCTATCTGAACAAATACTGTTTCATAAAATCTTGAAATTCAGAGTTAATATTAATTACACTATTCCCAACTTTTATTAATGTCAATGGTGGCCGATTGTACTAAAGAGGAGTAAGTGTCTTACATTGTGACACAAAATTAAAAGCATTCAATATTTATATTATAGTCCTTGATAAAATTTGTTTGCCTCTGCCATTAAAAAGAAAACTAGACATTTCTTTTACAAGAATTATCACTGCAAAACCTATTGATGGTAAGAGAAAAATTCTTAGACATATATCTCAAGTTACATGAAATATGGTCATTGTACCACATTTTTACTACTAAAATTTATTTTGAAGCTTTCTGATTAATTCTTTGGATTAATTTGTATCCTTGGAGAAAATATTAAGTTTTTTACAAAAAATATTTTTGAGAAGCTTGTTCTTCTAATGAGGTCATAAATAATTTCCTTCTCTCTTACCCAAGTCAAATCAAGGAAGTTTCTGTGTTTTGTTTCTGATTTAATAAATCATAATAGCAGTGTTTCTCATCAAGGCAAATTCAGAACCATATATAGTACAGGATGTTTTGTAAAGCCATATAATAAAAGTTGTTGAGTAACTGTACTAAATTTATAATAAGGTTAAAGTGGGTAACATTTACTTAGTAGATTTGCTGGTTTGGAAAAAAATAATTTCCCACCAACAAAAGCAAGGCTTTCTCTTAGAACAGGTTTCAAGGGAATGGTCTACAGCCTTCCCCACATTTTGTCATGCTGCCAACACTGGACTCAACGACATGCACAATCCCAAACCCAGGCTCACAAATAGTGGCTATGATAAAATGCACTTGTGATTCCAAATGGAGACACAAATTGAGCAGTATTCTTTGTGAGATCATGCCCCCAGAGAAATTTAATTTTAACCAAGATATATGAACAAATTAGGCTGGGATTTGAAATGGCTGCCAGTCTGGTCATCCAATGGGGAACTTGAAAAATCAGACAGGGTTAAGTACTTCAGTACTTTAAAAAAAAATCCTGAATTCATCCCATTATTAAAATGGAGAAGAACGGATTAAACAATGTGTAAATAATTGATTTGAAAGCTGCTCCACTGAGGGAGGAAACAAATATACAACTGGTTCCAATCGCCAGCTGTACTCCTGCAAGGCCTTGTCCATACTCCTACCTTGCTCTGAGGATGCCGAGGCTTCAAGGCTCAGGACTCTACAAACAATGTAGTAACAATGGGCATCGTACCTCAGTGACCATTCCATTCAGAATCAAAGCTTATCAGGTCCCTGTCCTACACGTACCCGGAACATGTTTTGGTCAGGTATAAAATGGAATAATTTCAAAGTTGATGTATCTACAAGTTGAAATTCTTGCAAGGAAGAGTCACTCTTTACTCTGCCAGGCTGACTCCAGAGTCTAGGTTTCCAAGAGCCCCCTGGCCAGCATATTTCCATAGTGGTCCATGTAAACAAGACACAGGTGAAAATGGTCCTTCGGGAGCTGCTTTCATCGAACAGCAGGATTTCCTGAAAGTGTGGTATTGAATAAATGTAACACAGGCAGAGGGTGCGCCTCTGTATTAAACACCCAGTGGTCTAAAGGTAAAAGGTCATCACCGGAAAACAGCAGATACAAATATCTGAAAGTAAAAGAGGGAGAAGAACTTCAATTAGAATTCCACAAGACTATCAAGCGACCACAGTTCTAATGGCAAAAGGAAACCCACAACCTATTTTGAGCAGCTGAGATGAAAAAGCCATCACAGAACATCAGTCTAAATAATTTGCTAGGTCTTAAATTGTGTTGTGTGTTTTCTTATTGTTGAGGTTTGAGAATACCTCATACATTCCAGATACGTTTTGCAAAGATTTTAATGAAGTTTGTGTCTTTCAAGGAGCAGATTGAATGACATAACGTCTTTATTTTGCACAAAGAATTCCATTTCAGCTAGTTTTATTGATTAGTCTCTATCCTCTCACTGCACTATCTTTGTGCCTTGGTCAAAAGTCAACTGTCCACACATGTATGTTGTTTCCTTTCTGCATTCTATGTTCCATTGGCATATTTACCTACATTACACTACTACTTCACTATGTTGATTCTTGTTTTTTTCTAGTAACTCCTAAAATAAGCTTGTGTAAGTTTTCCAACTTTTTTTGGTTATTTTAGGTCCTCTGCATTTCCACATGACGTTTTAAATGTTTGCCAATTTCTATATATTTTTTTTAAAAGAAAGCCTGTTAAGATTTTGATTGAGCTAGATGGCCGCTTGTTTACCTTCAAGCTTTTAAGACCCCAGACGCTATATCTTTTGATAGCCGGGCACTATCAGCTTTCTTCACCACATTTGCTTATTCACCCGCTTTTTCCTCAGCGGTTGTGTGGGGAAGGTGAGCATCATAGAATGCCAATTTACTAGAAGAAAGTATTCTTGCATTGAGGGAGTACTTGAGTGGAGGCCCAATGTCCTTCTGCTACCTTAATACTAAACCTATAAATGTAGGCTCATAGACCTATTTCCCCATCCTCATATATTTGCATATGTACATGTCTTTATCTAGAGCTCTATAAATGCCCTTTGCCTCCCAGCTCTTTCCCCTATTTCCCTTGATCAGAAGCAACAAAGCCTACATGGAACAACATATCAACCTGTGTGATCACGAGGTGCTGAACGGATCACTGAAGACAAATGGGTGCATAAGCAAATGTGGCGAAGAAAGCTGATGGTGCCCGGCTATCAAAAAGTATAGCGTCTGGGGTCTTAAAGGCTTGAAGGTAATCAAGCGGCCATCAAGCTCAGAAGCAACAAAGCCACATGGAAGAAGCACACCAGCCTATGCAACCACGAGGTGTCGAAGGGATCAGGTGTAAGGCATCATCAGAACAAAAAATCTTATTATTGTGAATGATGGGGGGAGTGCGGAGTGGAGATCCAAAGCCCATTAGTAGGCCACTGGAGATCCCCTTGCAGAGGGGTTTCGGGGAGGAGATGAGCCAGTCAGGGTGCGATGTAACAACGATGAGAAATACAACTTTCCTCTAGTTCCTAAGTGTTTCCTCCCCGCTCCCACTACCATGACTCGAATTCTATCTTGAAAGTCTGGCTAGACCAGAGGAGGTACACTGGTACAGATAGGAACTGAAAATACAGGGAATCCAGGACGGATGAGCCCTATAGGACCAGTGGTGTGAGTGGCAAAACAGGGAGGGTAAAGGGAGAATGGGTAGGAAAGAGGGAACCGATTACATGGAACTGTGTGTGACCTCCTCCCTGGGGGACAGACAACCGAAAAGTGGATGAAGGGAGACGTCGGACAGGGCAAGATATGACAAAGTACCCATTTATAAACTATCAAGGGCTGATGAGGGAGGGGGGAGCAGGAAGGGAGGGGAAAAATGAGGACCTAATGTTGGGGGTTTGGGTGGAGAGAAAATGTTTTGAGAAATGATGTACAAATGTGCTTTACACAATTGATGTGTGTATGGATTGGGATAACAGTTGTATGAGCCCCTAATAAAATGTTAAAAAATAAAGTAAAATAAAAATAAAAAACTAAAAAAAATTTTTTTTGGATTGAGATTGCATTGAATCCAAGAGGGGCTCAAACAGTTCATGGAAAATGGAATTCAAAATTAATAGAACTTTCCCATTAGCTTTTTGAAGGCCCCTTGTACAAATCAACTTAGAATAAACATCTTAACAGTACTGAGTCTTCAGAACCATGAAAAAGATAATAATAAAATAAAATAATACTTTGGTATTATTCTTCAATTTGTCTTTGATTTCAGGGTATATGTCTTTTAACATGTTTTCTCAATATTTATGTCCAAATATTTCATGTTGGTGTTTTTTCCTTTTACAATTTCTGATTGTTAATTGGTAGCATTTATAATTGATTTTATTTATTTAATTTTTTTCAATGTGGGATGGGTACAATGGAGCCTTCAAGGAGCAAGCTGGCCCCAGACTTCTCCAAGCTCCTATTTCTTTGCCTCCGATTCTTTCTTGTCCAAGGACAGGGAACCACACACACACCTTTGTAGGAGGATGCACAATTGATTTTAATCTGTACCTGCAACCATGCAAAATTCAATCATTAGTTCTCATAGGGGTGTGCGTGCGCGCATGTGAATGCCATAGGGTTTTCTATATAGGCAATCATGTCATCAACGAAAAAAGACAGTTTGCCTTCCCAGTCTGGTTGTCTTTTCTTATTTTCTGGTCTGACTGCACTGGCCAGAAAATTCCAATACAATGTTGAACAGAAGTGATGACTGCAGACGTACTTGTCGTTTTCTTATCTTACAAGGAAAGCATTTAGTAGGATTTTTACTGATGTCTTTTTTAGATTGAGGAAGTTTCCTTCTATTCCTAGTCTGATGAGAGTTTCTACCAGAAATAGAGCATAGATTTTGTCAAATGACATTTCTGTCTACTCTAACATGATCATGTGATTTTCTATTTTAGTTCATTGACGGATTTTCAAATGCCAAACCAACTATTTGTTATCTGAGGTAAACCAACTTGCTCAGAATATATTATACAATAATATGTTGAACTTGATTTGCTAATATTTGGTTTAGATATTTTATATTTGTGTTCATGAGGGATATGGATTTTGTTTCTGGTGAGAACTCTGCTATCATCTTTATGTGCACTTTATTTATATATGTGCTATCATCTCTTCTCTGTATAGCTGTCATTGTCCTGTGACTGCTTTTAAGATATTTTTCTTTATTACTGATTTTGAGCAATTTCATTATGTTGGGTCATGATGAAAATTTCTTCGTGTTTCTGGTGTTTAGGGCTTGCAGAGATTTTTGATCTTTGGCTGTATGGCTTATATCAAGTTTGGGGAAATTCTGACCATTATTTCTTCAATGTTTTGTCTCTATGCTCTGCCACATCTTTAAAGATTCTAGTTTCATGAGAGGGGTCTTCAAAAATTTCTTTACTTATATTTCCTACAAACATTTTGAAGTTCCCTCACATATGATAAGCCACTTGAAGTTGTCCCACAGCTCACTGATGCTCTTTCATTTAAAAAATTCTTTTTCCTCTTATTTCATTTTGGTTGTTTCAACTGCTGTCTCCAATTCAACGATCTTTCTTCTGCCATGTCCACTCTGCTATTAATTCTATTCAGTATATTTTTCAATGACTGCATTGTAGTTTACATGTTAAAGGTTTAATTTAGATTTTTATAACTACTATGCATTTATTTAACATAGAGTTTCCTGTTGCTTTTATTTGTTTCCCATTAATTCCAGTCCTTGTGTAAGCCCTGAGGGGTGGGAGAGGAACTGGGTGAAAGTGTAGGTTCTCTGCATCCTATCTCATGATTGATTCTCTTTCAGGCATGCATGCCCTTGCTTCTTGATTTGAGTCTAGAATTTCACCTCGCACTATTTTGCTAGGGAATAATCTTTAGTCAGGATGATTTTCTAATAGTCTTCTTATAAGGCAGCATTTATTTTTCAGGCTGGATCCATCCTTTCTGCTTCATTGCACCTATTAAGATCTTATATATCATGTAGCAACATTTCAATCTTTCTTCATGACTATGTTATTGCGGGGTGCCAATTACAATGCATGCTGACTCCATGTGATAAAGTAGAAATAGCGTATAGAGTTTTCTTATCTGTAATCTAAGATGACCATCACATCATTTCTCCACAGAGCTTCTAGGTCAGTTCACAGTGTCATCCTTTCAGTTAGCAGCCAGTGCTTACTCACTGCATAGCTAGGTCTGGTTACGCTAACAAAACAAACTCATTCCATTGGGCTGCTTCTGACTCCTAGTGACTGTCCGTTGCCAAGACTGTACCCTTTCATAGGATAGTGGTTTCAACCTGATAACCTAGTAGCCATAATTCACCCACCATGCTAAAACATTCATATGCTACCTTATACATTTCAGCACTTGACTATATAGAAACTTTATACTTTTATTAATTTTTTTCCTAAGGCCCCATAGTAATGTTTATTTCATCCATAATTATAAAAATCAGATGGAACAATGCTTGTAATATTTGTTGTTTCATTTCATAAACTTGTTATACTTCTGATGAAATATTGCATTTTTTATTCCCTGTGTTGTTGTTTTTAATCATTTTATTAGGGGCTCATACAACTCTTATCACAATCCATACATACTTCAATTGTGTAAAGCGCATTTGTACATTCACTGCCCTCATCGTTCTCAAAACATTTCCTCTCCACTTAAACCCCACTATCAAGTCTGGCTAGACCAGAGGAGGTACACTGGTACAGATAGGAACTGGAAACACAGGGAATCCAGGACAGATGAGCCCTAAAGGACCAGTGGTGTGAGTGGTGATACTGGGAGGGTAGAGGGAGAGTGGGTAGGAAAGAGGGAACCTATTACAAGGAACTATATGTGACCTCCTCCCTGGGGGACGGACAACTGAGGGGTGGGTGAAGGGAGACATCGGACAGGGCAAGATATGACAAAATAACAATTTATAAATTATCAAGGGTTCATGAGGGAGGGGGGAGCAGGGAGGGAGGGGGAAAATGAGGACCTAACTTTTATTAATTTTTATATGTCTACAAATAAGAGATTTGGTATCGACCATAAGCTTCTCATGGGTGGAGTATAGTTCACATGTGTTTTGGTTCTTAAATAGTGTAATTCTGAGAAGATACCCACTGTCATCATGCTGATTCCAGTAGGACAGAGTAGACCTGCCCCCTAAGGTGTCCAAGGCTGCAATCTTTATGGAACCAGACTGACACATCTTTCTGACATGCAAAGGCTGAAGAGTGAACCACTGGCCGTGTGGTAGAACCACTGAAGGACTCCTGTCTGAGAGTTGATACTTACTACTTATTACTTGGACTTACTGTGCAAATCAGCCTTCAAGGACAAGTAAGCAGAGAACAGGGGACTTGAAGGTACTTTTTTTAACTCAGCTGAAAAATCATCCTTCTCTCAAAATATACACCAAGTTTAGTAAAGTGAAGGGTCAGTGAAATAGAGGGACACTAGATAGATTGATACAACAGTCACCATAATGAAGTGAAACGTACATATACTAACTCTCATGAACATGACACATTTAAGTCAATTACCAAGAGCTGCAGTAAGACTCACTGGCAACAATAACAACATGGCAGAGATTAACTTTCAGATCCAATTACAGCAAGATCAAAGGCAAAAGGAAGGGAATAGTGGCTTTGTTTCATTCTTTCGCAAACTATGGTTTCTGTCTAAGAATCCCTACCTTCAACCAGAGCATTGATTCCTGTATTTCAAAATGTAAAAGCCATATTATTGTTGATGTTTTGCTCATAAAACCATTATCTATCTTTGAAGCTACTATGAGCTTTGTTCTCGAGGGAACCAGCGTTAATAGTCTAGTTGGCTAACTATATATTCATTCGCTTTTTCTGAGAATAACTTTATAGCCAGGCAAATTAAGATTACAGTAGTTATTTACGAAAGCTGTTTTTCCCACTTTTTATTGTAAAATTTTTCAAACGTACAAAAACACTGATAGAATCGAAACTCATGAATATTTACCTTTTAGATATTACAATTAATAATTTTATACCCTTGGTCTATCATGGATCTATGACTTTATTCATACACTTAATATCTATTTTTAAATTGTAAGATATTGCCCTCAAAAAATCAGTTAAGTAGCAAGCTCAGCTAATTATGAAAAAATTTTTAATAAAATTGTTTATAAAAGGAGAAGTAGTTTTATTTGAACTTTTAAAAAGCCAAGATAAACTAAGGATAGTAAACTTGAATGTTGAAAGAACCAGATTAAAAGCATTCGGAATTTTATTTACTTATGGCAAGTTATTTGACAGTAAATTAGATGAAATTACTTTTAAGTCAGTAATTTCATCTAATTTACAATTATCAACTAAGTACTAAATCATTTGGCAAAATTAGAATTTAAGAATTCCCAGAAAGAAAAAGAACAAGACATTTATATGTTCATAAAAATATGAATTACTCCTTTCTGATTTATTCTTTAAAATGTTAAGGGGCCATTAAAAAGTGAATAGAAAAACCAAGTGTCAAATACTTACACAATACAGTACTACTCATTAAAAGAAAGATAAAAATGGTTGATACATACAATAAAATAGAGGAATCTCACAAACATCATGCTGAAAAAGAAGCCAGACACAATATTACTACATAATGTATGATTCACTCCTGGACTTGAAGGTCAAGGGCCATCATCGCAGGGGACATCTGGGTCAAGTGGTAAAACACTGTTCAAAAAGACAATACTCTACATCCTATTTTGGTGAATAGTGACTGGGATCTTGAAAGCGTGTAAGTGGTCATCTAAGAGGCAACTATTAATCTCTTTCTGACTAGAGCGAAGCAGAACACAGAAAACCAAAGACACAAGGAAGCAATCCATCCCAAGGACTGATGCCGCACACGAACTGCAGTTTCTTTATGCTGGGCGAGAAAAATAGCTGCCCAGTTAGCCTACCAACCTCTCATAGCCAAGACGACAGAAGAAGGTCCTGGTTAGAATGGGTTAAAAGCATACAACAACAAAAATGGCCAAGCTTACTGGTCTGAAAGGAGCTGGGAAAAGGGGTGAAGAAACTTCTTTCTGTCAAGGACCATTTGGTCAAACATTTAATCAATTCACCCTAATGTGATGGCTGGCATTGCTTCTCTTTGGTGCAGTGTGTGATGTTAGCTATTACTGATGCTTTTCGGGCCTTATATGACCTATGGGCCCGATAATCCCCCACCCGGAGACCACTGTTCTTTAATAGTTTAATAGAGACAACCCGCTAACTTGAAACTGCAGACACTCCCAGAGGCCACCTACCAAATCAAAGATGGGAGCAGAAGCAAAAACAGCACCTGTGAAGAATGTGCTTCTTAGATCGATCAATTATACAATACCAAAGTGGCAACAGTTCCTCAAAACCAACAATGAAAAGACAGGGAGGGGCAGGGCCATCAAACGAATGGAAATGGGGAACCCGAGTAGAGGATAGGGTGAGTATTGACACACTGTGGTGGGGGGCTGCCCTCAA